AGGAAAGCCCGAAGTGATGCAGGTCTCAGACGTTTACCACTTCGGTGAAACCCACGAGCACGGGTATGGTGCTGGCAAACCTAGAAACATAATAGGGGCGAACCGGGATTCGAGCCCACATTCATAGGTTTCTGGCGTACCCAAGGGACGCAACTCTGCACAGCGAATCGCGGTGCCTTAGACGACTGGGCCACCCGTGCCCCCTTGCTACACCTGGTAAAGTATTCGGCTATAAAACACGTAATTTAAATACCCCACGAAGGCAAACATTAAAAAAACCAACCAAAAAACCTTTCCGTGATAAATATTATGAAGCTAACCTAATCTTCAAATGAAGTAAAACATTAGGTCATTGAGGATCTGGGTTAGAAATGGTCTTCAGCGAACCATGCTTGTCGTAAGATGCGCCACCTCGTGAGAGTGACAACACGTACATGAACGAGCTCCGTTGAATTTACGGATTTGAGCTGTTGAGTCACCGTGGTAATTACGAAGAATATGGGCTGAGATTTGGAGACATATAGAGGACGTGTTGGATGTTTTCTGGCGCCTTATCAGGCATTTATGAGTGACAGAGCAAGACGACGGTCAGTCATGCATGTCGCCATGTTGCACATGCCGCGAGACTCAAGCCTGGCACTGAGAGTGAGTGAGTGAGTATGGTTTTACGCCGCTTTTACCAATATTCCAGCAATATCACGGGGAAATCAGAAATGGGCTTCACACATTGTACCCATGTTGGGATTCGAACCCGGGTCTTCGGCGTGACGAGCTAACGCTTTAACCACTAGGCTACCCGACCGCTCCTGGCACTGAGAACAGGAGTCATAATTTTTCGTCTCATGGTTATTGTATTGAGCAATTTTTTTTTTGTTTAACGCCACACTCAGCAATATTCCAGCTATATGACCGCGATCTGTAAATAATCGAGCCTGGACCAGACAATCCAGTGACTGACATCATGAACATCGATCCACGCGATTGGGATCCATGACATGCATCACCCAAGTCAGCGAACCTGACCACCCGATCCCGTTAGTCGCCTCTTACGACAAGCATAGTCGCCTTTTACGGCAAGCATGGGTTGCTGAAGATCTATTCTACCCCGGATCTTCAGGGGTCTATATTGAGCAATGATGTTGAGAGCAACCCAGGCCCTGGCTTAGGACGAACTACAAGACAAGCGACATTTGACAGCTCACTGGAACAGAGCTTGAAAGAAGTAATGGCTGAAATACAAGGTATGAGGAGAGACATGTCAACTAATTTGGAGAAAATGAACACTATGATAGCTCAAGTAGAGAAAGAGGTACAGATTCTAACCGATGAAAATTGTGACTTACGGGACCAACTTACTAACTTAACGCGTAAAGTGGACATACTGGATAGCCAGCAGAGGAAGAACAGTGTCATTGTTTATAACGTCGAGGAGACATTTAGAGAGTTAACAGAAGAGAGAGCAAATAAACTGCTTAGTATGATTGTTGATAAAATGGAAATACATGAAGCAATAATATTATTTTTATTTTTTTTCAAACGTCTTTATTGTTCCCAGAGTTGTAGATTAATACAGTATTCCGTCAAAGACATATTTCGGATTGCAAAGAATGGCACAATACATTCTTTAGAAAATTAAAGGGTTAGAAACAAACATTGTCCTATTTCAAACTAAAACGGTTGCAACACACAGCAATAATATTTCATAGAGTGAGTCGGCTACCAACGAAATCAAGTGGACCAAGGCCAATTCTAGCTTCGTTCAGAACTCCAAACAGAAAGCCACTATTGTGAGCCAAGTACAAAAACTGAAAAGTCATAACATAAGGACCGCCAACGATTATACAGATGCAGTGCGACGTACTCGACAAGCCCTCAAGCCCTTCTTGGAGGAAGCGAGGGCAGAAGGCAAGTCTTCTATTTTGAAACATGACAAACTCCAGATAGACAATAAACTCTGTTTTCGACACTTGTATATAACACACCAGTCAATTCAAGTGTACATTCAGCAGAACCTGTGTTGGATATGTTGGACAGTGACATCACACAAACCAAAAAAGATCATTCTGGTGGTCATGCCATTGTAAAGGGAGATGATTATATCGATAATGATGACAATGATTTACCCACAGATGATGACCTTCACTATATCGAAGATTGTGGGTTCATTTCAGGTGTCTCACAAGATTGCACAGCAAATAAGCGATGTCTTATATTATTGGATTTGTGAAAAACAACTGATTTGAGATTCTGCAATGGTAGCCTTGGTGACGACGCAGGATGTGGAAAGAAAACATGTCAATCTCATTAAAATCAGATCTTAGTTATATCAGATTCCTATTTTCAGGATGTGTTGACACCTCGCACCTGTAACTTACCGCCAACATACATTCTGTCGACAGCAATGTGACATCTTTTCATATACAGATACATATACATATGTCGTTGTATAACATACGAATATGTACATTATACCACTCCTCCATTGAAGATGAATATCACTATTTATTTCACTGTCCATCTTTAAATACTGAAAACAAAGGACAATGGGTTACTTCTAACATCTTTAAAGTGGAAGAACTATTAATTGTCAAACGATACAAATATACTGAGCCGCAAAAGAAACGTCAACATGGATAGGTATATGAGAAACCTTATTTGTCCAAACACTGTAAACATACTTTAAGACATATTAAAAAGATGGAACTTGGCAAAACTGATCATCAAGGTTGAAATTAAAGTGTCGAATGTTCTTAAAGTGAAACACAACACTGGTCTCTGAGAAAATGGCATCACAAGTCAGTATCTCGTGTGTCCGCCATGTGCATTGATGACTGCCGTGCAACGTCGATACATGGAATGGATAAGGCGGTTGATGAAGGCCATAGGCACTTAAGCCCACACTCTGAGGAACGCCTGACGTAGTTCAGCTGCAGTTGTCGGCCTTCGTCGGACGTCATTCGGCAGTCTTTGAATCTCGTCCCACAGGTGCTCAATGTGATTTAAATCGGGACTGAGGGCAGGCCACTGCATGGTTCTGATGCAATTCTGCTGAGGGAAGTCTGTTGTGGCTCTCGCAGCGTGGGCAAGGGCGTTATCATGCTGAAACTCGTGGTTGCGGCGACGTGCCAAATGAGGTATGGCGCGTTGTCACAAGACTTGATCAATGTACTGAGCTGCTGTGACACCATTGCCTCCCTCTGGACCGATGGTCTGGAAGACCACAGGGCCGAGCCTCTGTGCAAGACCAATTCCTTCCCACACCATGATGCTCGGACCAGTCCACGAGTCTCTCTCAACAAATACAAGCATCCGAATGACGTTCCTCACGGCGTCGCCAGACTCTCTCTGCCATCTGCTGTTGGGATACAGTAATGGCTCTCGACTGACAAGAGGACTCTTCTCCACTGCTGGTGGCGCCAGTGCTGGTGCTGTGTTGCCCACTAAAGACGGTCCCGGCGATGCCGTGGTGACAGAATGGGTCCTCGGTGTGGCCTGTGACAGTGGTGGTGTCTGCTCGTCAATCGTCGACGCACGGTGTCCGCACTAACGTGTCGCTGGTGTGTCCCGATGGTCAATCGGATTTTGAATATTGTTTGATTTATGCTCATGCGTATATATTAATAGTCGGCAGGTTTTGACAGCTGCTGTCAACATTCACCATTACTGACATGTACGGAATATGTGGTAGAAAAATGCAGGCCCTTCGTGTGTATGAATCAGATGAACTGAAGACAATAATTGGGGTGAAACTAGAATTCAAGCACAATCAGTGTATTCAGGTACCACTACGATCTGCGTAACTTGATCACTTCTGTGTCATAAATGAACAATTTCGCGGCTGTGTACAAAACCCTTGTTTGTAAATTCCTTATTGTTTATAATAGGTGGTGTATCAATGCAAAAGAAAATGTTTCTTCACAACATGGTCATGTAAGGCTTGATAATGACAATAGATGTAACTGGCTACACCTTTCTACTTTTAACATGAAAGGTTTTGAAGATGCTTAATAGATCTCCACTGAGTTTATATCTGTCTCTTCGCATCCGCTGTAGGGATAAGCAAGACACGATAGTATATCTATATTAGTCTAAATATGGTGCCATTATGGCGCCACCTTTGCGCTTATATCGTGCCAGTAACGTCATTTACGCGCCACTTCCGCGGCAGTTTGTAACCACTTTAACAGAATTATCTCGCCATTTTCGAGCCAGTTTAACGATACTTTCAGGGCACTATCGCGAACGTATCGCGAAATTATTTCGCAACAGGGGAAGGCACGTTTGAAATGTACAAGTGTAGAAATGTGACTCAACATTTTTGGTATGTGTTTTTTTTTGCGGTATGTTCAATTTTTACCCTTATTTGTCCTTTGTTCTGACCATTCTCTCAAAACTGATGTTCTGGCACTGTAAACATACTGCCCTTAAAAATTACAAGACCAAAGAAGCTGAATCTTCACATACTTGTTCCAACAAACGAGACATTTGAATTTGTTCACGAGGTTCGAATCTGATTTTTCATATGGCCGCATTGGTATTTAACTTGCAAAACATATGTTCATCCTCTTCTGCTCAAACTGTCTGTAGAGCTCTTAAACTCTCTCAAAGTGCATGTTTGGCTCTGTAAACTTCTTCTCTGAAATTGTTGGAAGCTCGACTTTGGGTCGAATTCCTGCTTATGACATCTTATTTCGTTCAAGGGGCGGTCGGGTAGCCTAGTGGTTAAAGCGTTTGCTCGTCACGCCGAAGACCCGGGTTCGATTCCCGACATGGGTACAATGTGTGAAGCCCATTTGTGGTGTCCCCCGCCGTGATATTGCTGGAATATTGCTAAAAGCGGCGTAAAACCATACTCACTCACTCACTATTTCGTTCAAATTTTCTGGTCGCGTACAGCAGATGCATGGTGGAGTGAGTGAGTGAGTTAGTGAGTGAGTATGGTTTGACGCCGCTTTTAGCAATATTCCAGCAACATTGTAATGTAATTGTATGTACTTCTCTCAAAATCCCTGGGGGAAACAAAGAGCATTCATTCATTCATTCATTCATTCATTCATTCATCGACAAAACCCTTTTCATATCCAATAGAAATCTCTGCACAAAGCAAAGTCGATTGTACGATTCCGACTATATCAGGAGCATGTGCTTATGGATCACTATACAAAAGTAATGATACCAGGTGTTCGCGAAAAGGTGAGCGTACTCTGCCACACCGGTTGCACCCGTCACAAACACATGCCCAGGCAAGTCAATTGTTTACCTAAAAAGAAAATCGGGTACAAGGCAAAATAGGGAATTGCAACGGACATCATTTGTGTCACTGATTTGTCCTCCATATGTCTGCCAAAAAAGTTTTGATTCTATCTCAAAAGATGTAAAATGTAAACACCAAAGACTGGTACTGCTAGAATATTGCTCGACATAAAACACTTGTAATCAATACATTAAATGTACAAATGATAACAGTCGGACACAAGTCAAATATCTTTCATAACCCTTTGTGGCAATACATCAAGGGTACAAATTACAAAAATCGGTCACAAGTCAAATATTTTACTTCAAACACTTGTGATCAATACATCAAATGTACACATTATAGCAATCCGACACAAGTTAAGTAGAACCTTGTGTCAATACATCAAATTTACAATTTATAGCATTTTTGACACAAGTTTAATATCTTACCTAAAACACTTGTGATCAATACATTAAATGTACAAATTATAGCAATCGGACATAAGTCAAATATCTTACGGAAAAACCCTTTGACTTGTATCAACAAGATGTAAACTACAATCATTTGATAACTTGAATCAAGGGTGGCTTTTGGGTCACACAGAGCCAGGTAGCATATTGAATGTTGAATTAATTATTCAAAATAACTTGTGGATCCCTTTCTTCATCAGTCATACAGTGTTAGAGGGAAGAATGTTTCACAGAAGAATTTCCTTCCTTCAGGCCTATAGATTATTTTCGATAGTTTAACAGTATGAAGAAAAAGGTGCCTTGGTTCAAAATACTTTTTTGTTTTGTTAATATCTCCGTGCTGAAAATATGTTCCAGGAATATCATAAACATTCTTCAACTTTTCTATTCCACGAAAGACAGTCGGAAATATAATCTCAAGATATAGGTTGAATTTTGAAAAATGTTCCATGTAATACAAAAAGTCATCTTTGTAATGTTCAGGTACGTAGGCGATGTCTGATGCACCGACAAAGAAACCATTTTCAAATCCGGAATTGTTCGAAAGCATTTCTGTGAATAAACTATATCTGTGTGCATCTACAAATTTTAAAGCTTCAAGGGCGGCCTTGTAAGTTTTCAAACCAACCTTTGGATTTTGAAGACGATGCCATGTTATTGGTTTAGACTGTTGTGCAACACTCGAGCTGTAAACCCAGAGTTTGTTAAGAGGAGAGAGATGAATGTTCCACACATTTAGTAACACGTCATCGCTAATGAAAAGATACCCATCAACTCTAAACTGCATTTTCATTGCTTGTATCAAACAGTTATGACCAAACCACCCATCACCAATATCAAGCTCTATGAAGGACAAAGGTTTGTGTAGGAGTTTAGCATGTGCGTCAAATTGATCTTTATTGGTTCCACAGTAGACAGTATGCGGGAAATGCAAGCTGTACATCATCTCAAGAAATGCGAGGTTCTCATAGTGGGGCCAGTTAAAGACAACGATTAATAGAAGACTAGGGTATGTAATGGGTATCTTAAAGTCTTTCAGTTTGTATGTGCTTAATGAATGATTACTGCAATATGAAACTATTTGACTAATGTGTGACACAAACGCAGGTGATTCCTTATCTGTGGAAAATATCCTGGGTGGTGTCTGTTCAGGTGCCCAGAATGTGACATTGACCTGTTGGTCAGTCAAATAAGTTTGATTAGGCAATTTCAAATCATTCGTGACCTGTGCACTGTCCTTAAGCAAACCAAATGGAATTCTTTCTGGTTCCTTGTAACCTAGAGTATTTAAATCCTTGATCCAGAGAGAAGTCAGACGTACATCCCGTTCCTGCCAAAATTGCTCATGCTCCATGTCAGTTGATAGTTTAGCCATACATGCAAAGAATGTCTTATCTGCTCCACATCTCCATTTGGACAGGAAATCAACGAGGCGATCTGTCTGGAAATATAGGTCCTTCTCATCCACAGCATCTTTCATATAGGAGTGGGAGTTCCTCTTCTGGAAAGCATTTGGTGGGAAGAATCCTAAGTTTCCCCCCATCTCCCACAGGAGTCTCTGAGCCCAGTAACCTCTCCAGATGTCACACACTCGGAACGTTGTTGTAGTTGGAATCAGTAGTGCCCATAATGCATCATACAGGAAAAGGGTATTCTGAGAATTAAAGGGTGAGAACACCCCAGCTGGAACAATTGCTGGTGGAGCTCGGTCATCAAAGGTCACATTTAGCTGAGAATGAGTTTGTTTTCGGGTCAGTCTGAAAATGGCATCCATATCCGGATCACTATTGACCACACCCTGCTGAATAGACGGGGTTTTCCAGTGATTCAGCTGATATTTCATTGTAATATTTTCACCCACAGAACCAAGTGGGTACCCTCTTGGCCACAGTGTTGGCTGTCCAAAATGGCGGTAAGGGTTAAAGAGCTTCTCCCCTTTATATAAGAGTCCCCACATTGTTGGATCCAGAACAAAGTGTTTCAGAGAATGGAGTGGATGGTTGTCGTCATCAGTTTCATAAATGATTTTTGCACCATGGGCTATTGCAAACAGATATCCCACTGTCTTTCTGGCATAACTCTTCTCCGGAAGAAGAGACACTGTGTCAAAATCCAGTTGACGCTGATCTTCTATACTTAAATATACACAGTTTGGGTACCTGAAATATTGAAATGCTTTATTGAGTACGACATTGTTTCAATGAGTCATAATACGTATATTTATTAACGCCATGCTAATTACAGCAATTTAATTGCGTTGGTGTCTTCAAATAATGAAGGCTATTTGCATACTTTGAAACTTATTTAGTTGCTAAGCGTCTCAGGCATTTTTCCTCTGCACAGGACGTATGGCCAAGTCGTGTAAGGTGCCGCAAGTGGCGTTGCGTCCACAGGTGTGCCAGAAGTCTATGATAGTGAGTTTGAATCCCTGTTCTCTCCGGCTATGTATCTAGGTTGTTCAACGCCATATTCGATTTCAAGGGTTTCATCAAAGTGGCAAATGTCTATAGTGCGCATCACTTTCCTCTGACATGATGCTGTTCACAGCGACATTAAGTCAACCTCACTCACTCTACACAGAACACAGAAAGCAGAGTCGGGAAACTTAAGCAGAAATTCTACCACTGATTTAAAAGAGATTGGTTTTCTATTTGGTTACTCTGAATGAAACATTTAGTTTGCCCACCGCATCAAGCTGAACGCTGGGATTAAATGAAAGGTACTTCTTCCTCAACCAATGTGGACAGACATTTTGAAAGAATGTTAAAAAATGATAATATGTTATAAGATGCAGAGTTGCGGTAATTACAATATTCACAATATAGGGCAAATCTATAAATTCAACCAAGAGAGTGTATTTAAACCTCTTTTTTTATCGACAACAGAGAGCTTCAAATGTTTGTATTTCTATGTCTGACTGAGACGTCATTTACCTTGCGCCACAGCTAAACTTTGGAAGGCTTGATTATTTTTCTTCAGGGCCTTTTACTTCATATTCTCTTACAAAATAGCTGAACTACACATTTTGCTTTGAAGTTATGTTATATAGAGAAACTCACCCTCGTGTCTTGATTTCAAATATATAAACACAAGTTGATAAAAGTGGAAAAAACTCCGGGGCTTACCGAGGAGTCTTTCCACTTTTATCAACGAGATTTGATATATGTGATATCATAAGACACGAGGGTGAGATTATATTTACCATCCAACACCATTCTTCCATCTTTTTTAGTTTGTTGACAGAAATAAGCAGTGTAAAACGTAGACTAACAGCTTCAGTAGCAGATACATTAGTGATGTCATTGATTGTGACGTCATGGTAACAATGACGTCACAAAGCATTGTAATGTAATTTCATTGCAGCAATATCTAGAATGTAGATATCGCTTCATTCCACCCAAGCGATAGCTCCTTCGGAAGCCAGTTTTGGATTATAAATAATATTAATAATAATAGATGCCCTGCTTTGGCACAAACACAGTATCTTAAGTGACATGATGGAATGGCTAAATCCTTTTATTACCGTCCTTGCAATGCTTGTGGATTTGACACAGAGGTCCATCCATGGTACGACCCGGAATATGTAGAGGGTATCATGGAAACTGATAAACACAAAAATCTTTGGAATAGGCCCTTTTCAGCCTCAGACCTGACCTTGTCCTTTTTGATAAATCCAATGAAACCATTCGACCAAGTTGTCCGACTCCCCATTGTTCGATCGGTGCCTTTGGTTTGGTACCTCCCAATCTGTTGACTGACATTGGGAGAGTACCCGGGTTTGCTACCAGGAATACTTCTGACAATCTTGGTAATGCAGAAGGCTACAATGTTGGGATGTCCTCACATTATCCGAAAAAAATCTGGGTGGGTTTGACAAGGCAGCGCTTCCTGGGAGAAATCCCATTCGCTGTATGGGCTGCATGTAGAGGGGGCAAGGGCCCTGAGCTGATGATGAGCCTGACTGTGCCAGGATCACCCAAACCCTCTTTGCTGCATTTTTTATTTTAAAAATAATAATAATAATAATAATAATAATAATAATAATAATAATAATAATAAAATAAATAAATAAATAATAATAATCATGTCAAGACTCATGATGAAAACAAGGCACAGTTTTCTTAAACGAACTAAGGATGGGGGACATAATCTCAATGTCAGTGTTGATTTTGTTGATGGTTCTGTACTGCTGGACGGTACAGAAATGAGTGCCAAACTAGCGAAGTGCCATATGAAATCGGCCGAGACTCAGTTGTTCAAGGAGAGGCTATCTGAACGACCTCTGCATCGGGTTTATGTGCAGTAAGTTGAGACGATCAGCACCTCTGCAGAGTCCTTCACTTGGATGAAGCCGACTAGCCTGAAATGTGAAAATCACTTCCCACTCGAAACCGTCAATGTGCACGGCTCCCATGGGCGAAAGCTATGAACACACAATGCCATTTAGAAAGTGGTCGAAATTCTAAATGGTATTGTGTGTTCACAGCTTTCGCCCATGGGAGCCGTGCCAATATACACTTGCCTGAGGGGTTTACAAAGTATGTGATCTAGACTACCAGTTGTTGGACTTTCATTTTTGTGGAAGCCTCGGTGGCTGAGTGGGTGAGATCGCTGAATTTGTGTGCTGGAGATTAGGTGCCTCACTCTGGCAGTGTGGGTTCGAATCCAGGACGGAACTCAATCAAAAAAGTACGAGAATCTATACTTTATTGAGAAAGTGTTATCCCAAATATAACATTTGTTACAAAAGTCTTTTTACAAAAAAAACACCATTTCAATAGTTTGTTCCCACTGACAATTACTACAAACATAACAATCAGCAGGTGGTAATTTCATATTATTTCAAGATGCTAAACTGGCCATGAAGATGACACAATGTTCTTGATGTTATTTTAGAAAAAATATAAGCAATGATTTTAATAATTAAACAAAAACAATCAACAGCATCTTTTAATATCTCCATGTGTAAAAGAAGGACACCTTTCTGTATAAAACAATATACAAGCAGCTACAAAATATTGCCCCTTAGGTATGTCAGGATCCGCTGATACTTGGCTTGTCAGTTTTACACTTGTGCACAAGTCTACGACCTGCGTCACAGTCGGGCTAAAACCAACCTACCCACACCCTTTCACTCCATTCTACTTTTACACTCCTACGTAAGGTTTACCTCCAGTCCCTTGGAGTCTTGGTGTCCCCGACAAGAACGACCCTCCATCCAGGAATCTCTGCCAGGAACTTGATGTCCGGTGTTGGGTAGGAGATGGATGTCACAACTATCCATTTATCAGACCGTACTGAGCTGTAGTTGTGTCTCACCCTAGGAAACACAACATTAAAGATCATTTCATGTTGAAGACAATAATGGGATGTGGTTGGTTGGTTGGTTTGTTGTTTAACGCCGCACTCAGTAATATTCCAGCTATAGGACGGCGGTCTGTAAATAATCGGGTCTGGACCAGACAATCCAGTGATTGATATCATGAGCATCGATCCTCGCAATGTGGGATCGATGACATGCATCAACCAAGTCAGAAAGCCTGACCACCTGATCCCGTTAGTCGCCTTTTACGACAAGCATAGTCGCGTTTTACGGCGAGCATGGGTTGCTAAAGACTTATTCTACCCCGGATCTTCACGGGTCGAATAGGCATGTACCGATTTTGAATATCTGATATCACGATCAGCTGACCAGCCTTGACAGTGCATATCTTTACATCGTTGTTTAAACATTGTTAAGAACATAATTTTATTTCCAACATCCCGGGATATCCACGCGTACGTAAATCCATGCGAAAAAAGAATGCGGGGTTTATATCCCCTGAGTCATCAAGGAACTTATGCATGTAATATCACCGTCTAGAGTATCGTGTATATGGTTGTCTGAGCAAACGTATCCAGGACGAGATAACTCTACATTGATAGTTTACATATATCGGGTGCCTTCGCGTTCTGCTAAAATTCCCTTATTTGGTGCCCGGTAGCATATAGTGTCATTTACCACAAGCATAGTCGCCTTTTACGGCAAACGTGGTTTTCTGGTCCCTGTTTAGTGCATGTATGTGGTCAGTAAGTGAGGGAGGGAGAAGATGGTGTTTAATGCAATATTTCATCCGTATCACGTTGCCATAGAAATAATCGAGTCTGGCCAAACTAGTGGCTGATATTATAGGAAACGTCCCATATTGTGTCATATACGACTTGCAAGAGAGAACAGGGAAACTATTCAAATACGGGTCAAAAACCGCACAGACAGCATTTAATGAAAAAACGAGAATGATTATTAAAATAAAGTATTCCAACTCGTCTCATAAAAAGGTAACGAGAAACCAGATGAATTGTGTATGTCGTTTTTTGGCGCCCAAGAACGCCGTTGCCGATATTATTGTGATACATCATCACATCAACGCTGCTGATGAAAACCCATAAATCTCACCTGTTGTGAAATGATGAGGCCATTAAACGCAAACAAATCACTCCTACTACCACGGTAGCAAGGCAAAACATAATTTTCTTCATCATCGCTAGTCGCTGCATTCGGCCTCCAATAGTTAACATGCTGTTCCCATGCAAGTTGCCTGCCTGATGGATCTATCAGCTCTGACACTGACACAGTGCTACACAGCTGTAACGTCAGTTCGGTCTCTTCTCCCCGAAGTGATACACAGACTGTGCAAGGGACAGGGTTATAAACCTACTGGTATCCACTGAAACGGTACGTAGAGTGTTACTTGCAGCAAAGACAGGCAAAACTCCTGGGGTGGATGCTACTCC